AAAAAAAAAAAAAAAAAAAAAAAAGATATTACTATGGTGTGTACCTGATTAATTAGCATCTGACAATAGTTTGAATATTTATCTCCTCCAAATCTCATGTTGAAATAATGACCTCCAGTGTTGGAGGTGGGGCCTATTAGAAGGTGTCTGGGTCATGAAGGCAGATACTTCATGAACATTGGTGTCCCCACCATGGTTCAATGAGTGAATACACACTCTAATTAAACTCACACAATAGCTGGTTGTTTAAAAGACCATGGCACCCCTCTCCCTCTCTTGCCATGTTACATACCTACTCCAATTTCACCTTCTCCCATGACTAAAAGCTTCCCAAGGCCCTTGCCAGAAGCTGAACAGATGCCAGTGCCATGCTTCTTGTAAAGCCTGCAGAATGGTGTAACAAATAAACCTCGTTTTAAATTACCCAGTCTCAGGGATTCCTTTATAGCAGTGCAAAATGGACTAATACAGCATTCAAACGAGCTTTGTCCTAACTAGTTCCACACCCTTTGGAGCTCTGCCATTGTCAGGCTATGTTCCCTGTCCATATACATCTATTCTCTAGAGTCTTTTTGTTTCAGTTTCTAGGACTTATGCCTAAAGAAGTAACATGTGCGTTAATCATGGCAGTTTACTACACTCATCAATGTATCTGTATTCAAAAACCCAGATAATTTGTTTTAAAATATGACTTCCACAGTCTTATTCCTTAATTTTGAACTTATGTCCCATGACAATGTAGAGCAATCTTATTCACTCTTTATAAGTAAGTGATTAACATTAATATTTTTTCAAATTTTATTGCACACAATTTACTGCTTCGGTAAAGCTGATTTTCACTGAGACACAATTTTATGTATCCCTAATTATTAAAAACAAAACATTTAAAAATTCATGGAAATATAAAATGGTGCAAATATTCATTGCCAGCAAAGATCAGTAAAAATATTCATTCACATAGCATGTATGCAAACACTCAAAAGAACATAAACACACAAAGATATTTATTTGACTAAGTTATGAAGGCTAAGAAAACATTGTTTTTCTCCTTTTATGTCTATGTGATCATCTCATTGATTTCATGTTATTATAAAAATAAATGCAATTCACACAAATTCCTGTTCTTGAACACACTTGTTCTTTTCATTTTAAAATGGAGTGACATCATCAATGTGGTCTTCTACTTTTTGGAGTTTATCATAGTCATAATTTCCTATCCTATGGTTTTCATACCAAACAGTTGCACCTTATACACTGACATGTTCTGCTCTCCAAAAGACATATTTTTACTGCCAGCAATAAAGAAGAAGATTTAAATGTTACTCCTGCCCCCAATAATGAATATATTTGAAGAAACTACCAAACTCCATTAAGTTTCTCTTCCTGTTCACAGGGTTGATAGAAGAATACTGGATAAGAAGGTTGACAAAAGCTGTCCTTCAAATGTAGAATATTTTGTACCAGAGAAGTTAAAAAAAAAATTGTACAGCAATTAAAAGGTAATCATACCAAGGCCTCATGATCACAAATATGACCAATCTAGGATTGACTAAGAAAATTTGTCAATGTCCATCTGACACTTTTAAAGTGTTACCGTAAATCTTAATACTGTTGAAAACATTTAATTGTAAAATATGCAGTGGTCTATTACTGTAAAATTAACCCAACCTTTTCAGTCTATACTGTGAGAAAAGCTACAAAGGATAAATTTATACTGTATACAAGCAATGAACATTTGATAGAGCCACAAATAATAATCCAATTTCAGAACACAGGATGTGGGGAAGCCAGGAGCCAAGTGCAATAAAATGATATTCAATGAATATGATAACTCTGATCAAGAAAAAAATTTTTTTTTTTTTTTTTTTTTTTTTTTTTTTTTTTTCTGTTCAAAAAAAAAATTTTTTTTTTTTTTTTTTTTTTTTTTTTTTGAGACGGAGTTTCGCTCTTGTTACCCAAGCTGGAGTGCAATGGCGCGATCTCGGCTCACGGCAACCTCCACCTCCTGGGTTCAGGCAATTCTCCTGCCTCAGCCTCCTGAGTAGCTGGGATTACAGGCACGTGCCACCATGCCCAGCTAATTTTTTGTAGTTTTAGTGGAGGCGGGGTTTCACCATGTTGACCAGGATGGTCTCGATCTCTTGACCTCGTGATCCACCCGCCTCGGCCTCCCAAAGTGCTGGGATTACAGGCTTAAGCCACCGCGCCCGGCCCAAGAAAAAAATTTAAAAGGAAAAAAATAATATTCATAATAATGCTATGGATTGCAGTACTAAGTTTACTCTGCATTTCAACTCATGTTTCCCAGAATTATGTTTTCCAGACTTCCTTGTTTGGATACATAGAATTGCATCCAAATCCACACATATGTTTTCTCCTTTCATTGATTTAACAAACAAGCACTGGAGACATACAAAGTGATAATCAGTGTTCCAGTTGTGACAATTTAGCAGCAAAGACACAGGTAGCTTACATTCTAGTGGACATCAATTTTGAGATGTCCACCATTAGAGTGGTAAATTCATGAACTCTTACTCTTTCTAAGTCCTGTCTCCTGAATGACAGCTGTAACTATCAAACTTCTGAATGAAGCTTTATTGCACCATTTACAAAGATTCTCCACTATGGTGGTCCTGAGACTACTGGGGTATGCTGAGCTATGGCTGAAGCAATGATGTTATCTTAAATGTTTTCGCTCTTCAAAGAATGGGTGAAATTTATCACCAGCGTGTATTCAGAGATAAAGCACTCAAAGGAAAGTGCTTATTATGTGCCTCACATTTTAACGTTTCTCCCCTTTGTGAACTTTCAGATGAGACTGCATTCATGAAGACTGAGTGAACACTTTATCACACCATCACATCACTAAGTTTTCTCCCCCACATGAACAACCTGATGAAGTTGAAGACTTGAGGCCTGACTGAAGCACAGATCGCACTCCCCACATTTCCATGTTTTCTCTCCCATGTGGACCCTCTGATGCATGTCAAGATTCGAGCACCTGTTGTAGCCCTTCCCACAGTCCTCACATTTGTATGGCTTTTCTACACTGTGAACTTTTTCTTGGACTTTAGAGAATGAACTCTGTACAGTATTCTTCCCATACTCCTCACATTTGAGAGGTGTTTCTCTGCTGTGGCGTCTCTGGTGGGTCAGACGGGTTGAAGACCAGCTGAAACCCTTCCCACACTCATCACATTTGTATGGCTTTTCTCCGGTGTGCACTCTTTGATGAGAATGAAGCTGTGAATTCTGAGTAAATCTTTTCCCACACTCTTCACATTTGAATGGTTTTTCTCCGCTGTGCAGTCTCTGATGTTTCAAAAGACATGAGGCCCAACCAAAACTCTTCCCACATTCTTTACAATTATACGGTCTCTCTCCTGTGTGGACCTTCTGGTGCATATCAAGATTAAACTTACTATTGTAGCCCTTTCCACACTTCTCACATTTGTATGGCTTTTCTCCAGTATGGACTCGCTGATGGGAATGAAGATGTGAATTTTGAGTAAACCTCTTCCCACACTCTTCACATTGGAATGGTTTTTCTCCACTGTGGAGTCTCTCATGTTTCAAAAGACAAGGGGCCCGACTAAAGCTCTTCCCACATTCCTTACAGTTATACAGTTTCTCTCCTGTATGGACACGCTGGTGAAAGTCAAGATCCAACCTCCTTTTGTAGCCCTTCCCACACTCCACACATTTGTACGGTTTTTCTCCACTATGGGATCTCTGATGGGAATAACGTTGTGAATTTGTGTAAAATCCTTTCCCACATTCTTCACATTTGAAGGGTTTTTCTCCACTGTGGACTCGCTGATGTTTCAAAAGACATGAGGCCCATCTGAAGCTCTTCCCACATTCTTTACAATTATATGGCTTCTCTCCCGTGTGGACCATATGATGCGTATAAAGATCTCGCCTACAAATAAAGCCTTTTCCACACTCCTCACATTTGTATGGCTTCTCTCCTGTGTGGACCATGTGATGACTATTAAGTGCTGATCTCTGACGAAAGCTCTTACCACACGTATCGCATCGGAAAGGTTTTTCTCCCGTGTGAACCATGGAATGCCTATTAAGTCTTGATCTACCACAGAAGCTCTTATCACATATATCACATTTAAATGGCTTCTCCCCAGTATGGATTCTCTGATGTTCTTGAAGCTGGGAATCATGAATGAAGGCCTTCCCACATTCCTCACAATTATAAGGTTTCTCTCCTGTGTGCAATTTGCAATGTACATTAAGTGCTGATCTACGACTAAAGCCTTTCCCACATTCAACACATTTGAATGGTTTCTCTCCAGTGTGGACTCTCTGGTGAGTTTTCAGATGTAAGTTCTGACTGAATTCCTTACCACACACATCACACTTATAGCATTTCTCTCCCATGTGAACTCTCTGATGAATACGAAGGGCTGAGATGTAACAGAAGCTTTTTCCACACTCATCACATGTATGAGACTTCTCTCCTGAGTGTGATTGTTGATGAAAATCAAAGATGGAGAGATCACTGAAGGACTGTTTATATTCATTGCCCTGGGAAGACTTCTGTCTTATGTTAATTACAGATAGCCCTGCCTCAGTCTGGCAGGGTAAATCACTTTGTTTGGAGAACTGAGAGCTATTTATTACCGAGGCTTGAGACCTGGTTAAATCACTTGCAATTTTTTCCCAGGTTTGCTGGCAGGACCACTCTTGATGTGTTCCTGCTTCTGAAACAGTCTTTATCTCAGTTTGGATCTTGCCTCCTATCAGAATACAGAATTAAGAGATGAGGACAAGTGACGCCTTTGTTCAGTGTTATCAAGATTTCACTTAGGCCATGGCATGAAACTTTCATGAATATAGACAACATTCAGTTTGTATTTTTCAAGTGTACCATAATCTCTGGTTTGGATGAGGCCAATTTAGAACCAAACCAAGTATCATATGTAAAATACTTGGTAGAAATAAAAGACTTACAAAAAAACAATAGATGTTGGCATGGATGTGATGAAGGGGAACACTTATACATTGCTGGTGTGAATGTAAATTAGTACCATCTCTATAAAAAAGAGTATGGCCGGGTGCGGTGGCTCAAGCCTGTAATCCCAGCACTTTGGGAGGCCGAGGCGGGTGGATCACGAGGTCAAGAGATCGAGACCATCCTGGTCAACATGGTGAAACCCCGTCTCTACT